CACCCGACGAGAAGGATGGGAAGGGATACTGAATGATTTCAATGTTAATTTCATTATTAATTTGTATTGGACTCATCAGCAAGTACACATGTCAAAATATTTCTTAAAGGCAGAATATAACTGAGTCTAGTTTGCGGTTGAATGAGCCCATCAGTCGTGAGTGTGGTTTGGGGAGAGTGGCTTATTGAGGGGTTTCCAGTGTTCTGCCCTATCTCTGTCAAAAAGGAAGTTATTCTCCACTAAATAGCTGACTATAGGAGTCAAAAAAGAACAGTTCAGTCTAATAATCTGATCAGTTCCTAGATTGTTACTAATCAAAGTAGAGGGCTAGATTTCAGAGGCAAGGAGGGGATGAGGAAAAGCCCACACCTGTTTACATATTAGAACAAACAGTTCCTAATGTACCTTGAAGTCACATTTTCTAACACTGCTTTCATTATTGAATAATTTAAGTTCTTTGGGGTCCAAATCATATTCTCTGATTGTAAAGAAAGCCTTTGATATTATCCGGCCCTGAATGATTAGGTGTTACCTTGTCACGAAAGGGTTTAGGAAACCACTAGCTTTTAACATATTCTTCCAGAAGGGTCTTTTTTTGCTGTCTAGACAGACCCTCTCTTTGAGACATTGGATGCAGATCCAATGATAGGTACCTCCGGTGATCTGCACCTTAAAAGATGTCTATGACAAAGGTAAACTCCAGAGAACGGAGAAAATCTATTTACAATAGCTCACTAATCTGCTTTTGTGTGGATTTGAATTGTTACTTTTTAATGAATTATTATTTAATATCCTATTTCCCTAATTTTACATTAGTGCCCTTCTTAAGCAAAAACTATAGATTTTTTGCTTCCCCCAGAGAACATGTTATAATAGGAATTTATTGATTAAATAATATGTACCTTAAAAAATGGAATCTATTTTGATTAAATAAAATACCTTCATTTATACCTATGTTACCTAAAACATACTGTTTGCATATGTATTTGGTTTATTTCTTCTGGCTTGCTGAGGAGTGAACTTTTCAAAAGTAGTTTACTTAGTATACATTAAAATTGATTACATCTCACTAAGTATAATTTTTACATCTAACTATAATTTTGTTCTGTATGTCTTTAGTTATGATAGATACTTGACTAGTATTTAGGGAAGGAAAGGTTTTAGTCTCAGGTAGGGGAGTAGGGTGAAAAACTAGAAGATATTGATTAAGGCCAGTGTTTCAGGGTAAATTGTACCAATCGGCCATTTAACAACCAACAAAAACCAAAACTCTGCCTAATTGGGAAGAGAAATTGGCTTATTTTTAGTCATATTTGGGAGACAGATGGTAGAACTGTACTGTGAACTTACTGGTCATGCAAACCTTCTTACATTAGCTATTAAAATAATAAAATGAAGCAAAATGTCATTGGGCATCAAACAACAATGAGCACTGCTTCAGTCTTTGATTTGGGGAAAATTAGGTAGAGAGGTTTGCTAAATAAGAATTTTGAAAAGAAGATGTCATCAAAGAATAAATAATGGTATATTCTCATCAGGTTTAAAACATTTTCTCTGTGACCAGATTCATAAAGGTTGTGAAATGATATGGCAACTTGATTTTTTACCAAGGATTGGGATTGGTTCCTGAAACTGGTTCCAAGCTTTAGTTGGAAATGTAATCGATTTTAATTAATCATAAAGTAGTGCCAGAAAAGTGTTCACAGTATCACCGAGGGTTCTGAACTGCTTGAGATTGTTTTAACAATTTCTTGTCCACCTCCACTTCTTATTTTTTTAAGTATAAAGCCAAGAAGGATGGGGGAAAGTTGAACACATGTTTTCTTTTTTGATCCAGCAACTTAATTGTACAGAAGAGATAATTCAATAAGATATGCACTGAGACAGAATTGTATTTTAATGTAATAAAAGAAAAAGACATGATTTCATTTTAACTGAGTTCTATTCGTAACTGTTGGTCCATATTTAAGCCAGATGTTTATAAATGAGTGAAGTAAACATCTAGCTTCCGTGCTAAGGTAGGAAGAAAGTAGACTAATATTTAGAAAACCAGAAGACTAGTCCCTTGATCTGCCACGAATAAGCTATGAGATCTTGGGCAATCTTAGGACCACTATCATTACTTTCTCTGTTTATGTTACATTTGGCAAATGTGGAAAATCCTTTTCGATTCAAGAGATTATTTATATAAAATGAAATTTCATATTAGAAATTGGCCCTGATCACTTATTATTTTAGAATTTGTGACTTCTTCATACCTCCCCCATCCCCCAGCTCCCACATAAGCTTCGATTTTCTCTTCTACTAGATCTTAAGCTCTCCCTGGGTCAGAAACAATACTGTTGCCTTCCTGGGCTCAGCATATGGAAGTTATTACATTTACCAAGAGAACACCTAATTAGAGGTTAAGACTCTTATTTATTTAAAACCATTTTCCTGAATGTCAATAGTGTCGAGTGGAAAGATGCTGCAGTATTTAGAGTCAGTAAAAATGGTTTAATTTGAACTCCCTATCCAACTATGATCCTTAAGTAAGGCGCCTAACCTGTCTGTGCCTCAGCTTCCTCATCTCCTAAATAGGTATAATGGCATTTTAAAAGTGCATTATATGATTAATAGATGAGAGGGTTCTTGGGCAAGTTAAAAGTACTATTCAGTTGAGTTATTATTAATAACAAAAGATTTGTGAAAATATAGGGAACAGCTTCTGCTCTCCCCACTGGGTATGTGAAAAGGTGGCTTGCATAAATGTGTGTTCACAAATCATTCCTTGAGCCCTCATAACCAATATCCACTGTTTTCTTGAAAGCCTAAATGGGTCCTGGTGCCATCCTTTGTGAAGGCAGAATTTCCCCAATTACTAATCCAGGTTTGGACTGTCCCAGTTCATCTGCAGTTTTCTCACTCTGCCTCTGAGTAGCTACATGCCATATTAGAAATGTTGGCATTTTGAATTATACTACTCTGAATCCTCATGGGTGGGCCCTAAGGACAAGGTCATTCAAACACAGTCTGAATACACATGGCGAATGCCTGGCACAGAGTAAGTACTTCATACTTCTAAAAGTGATTTAATAGCGTCTACTGAGTGCCTGCTTTATCCATAATCGAGGGAACTGCATAGGAAATACATGGCATGGTCCTATGCCAAATGACATTTACTCCAGAAGACAAGACTTCCACATACAAAATATTTGAGTGCTGTAGGAAAGGGTTTTTAAGTGATAGAATGAATGCTTGAAAGTATAGGGCTCTACAAATTCAAAGAAGTGGGAAATCAATGAGGAAGTATCTACAGAAGCAAAAGTTGAGGCAGAGTTGGAAGACGGATGGAATATGAAAAGGTGAAAGGCAGCTGGCATTCCAAGAAGCAGCAACAGCAGGAGCAAATGTCTGGAAATGGAAATGAGCGTGTCCTTTACTCTTTGCTTCTAGGCAGTGGGGAGCGACTGGAGGTGACTATTTAAAATAAAACAGAATTAAAACATGTAATATATTTTATGATATAATTTATAGAAATACAAACGTGTACAAAGATGTATGTGTAGAGATGTTGATTGTCTGAAATAGCAAAAATTTTGAAGTAATTTAAATTCCGTCATTAGAGGAGTGCTTAAATAACTTATGGTGCATTCACACCGTGACATGCTTGGAAGCACAATCATGTGTCACATAAAGGACATTTCAGTCAATGGTGGACTGAATGCAAGACTGTGGTCCCATAAAATTATTAATATAATGGAGCTAAAAAATTTCTGTTGCCCGGTGACGTCTTGATTGTCCTGACCCTGTGCAGGCCTAAGCTAATGTGTGTACTTGTGTCTTAGTTTTCAACAAAAAAAGTTTTAAAAAATAAAACAATTAAAAAATACAAAAAAAAAGCTTGTAGATTAAGGTTGTAAAGAAAATCTTTCTGTACATGTGTACAGAGAATTTATGTTTTAAGCTAAGAGTTATTGTAAAAGCGTCAAAAAGTTTTAAACGAATGTGTATATACGTATAAGTTATATATATATAAAGTTATAAAAGATATATATATGTAAAAGGTTACATAGTAAAAATGCTGTTGTAAGCTAAGGTTAATTTATTATTGAAGAAAGTTTTTTATAAATTTAGTGTAGCCTAAGAGTACAGTGTTTATAAAGTCTATAGTAGCGTACTAAGCCTTCACATTCACTCACTACTCACTCACTGATTGACCTAGAGCAACTTCCAGTCTTGTGAGCTCCATTCATGGTAAATGTCCTATAGAGGTGTACCATTTTTTATCCCACATACAGTATTCTTACCAAACCTTTTCTATGTTTAGATACACCAATACTTACCACTGTGTTACAGTTGCCCATAGTATTCAGTACAGTAACATGCTATCCAGCCTTGGAGCCCAGGAGCAGCAGGCCATACCATGTAGCCTAGATGTGTAGTAGGCGATAGCATCCAGGTTTGTTAAGTGTACTCTATGATGTTCACACAGCGACAAGATCACCTAACCATGCATTTCTCAGAACCTGTCCCAATCATTAAGTGACTTGTGACTGTAGTTGAAAAGAGTGAAGTAAATCTTTATGTGCTGACATGGAAAGACATGACAGTATATTAATGGAGAGAATGCATTCATGTAATATTTGTTAACTTTGAAAATTGATTTTAAAAAATCAAAGTGGTGTTTCAGGAAGATTAATGTGGTGACATTGTATCAAGTTAAAAGGGAGCAATTGGAAGTGAACAGGGCTATTGGGAAGCGTGTGCATGAGTACGGATGTCCAAGGCCAAGGAGAGAGACCTGGATGATAGAGAGAGAATGCAGAGACATCCTGAAGAATGATTTTAAAGGACTTCATGGCAGATTCTTAATAGGGGATGAAGGAGAGAGAAGAGAAAAGAGATTTCCAGGTCTAAGCTTGGGAAATACACACTGAGGAATGATTTCTACTAACTGGAACAGACCCACGTTAATCAGAAGCCTTCTTTAAGAAATTCTTCCTATTTTTGTCTCTCAGGATGGAAGAAACAGTACGAAATCTATTGCAGAGTCAAGGACCTCCAGAGCAGAAAAAAGAAGACACTGTTAATATAATGGTCTATCAGGTACACCATGTTTCTTACTCTCGTCTGAGTACCGGTTGGCTTGTGTTTCTAGTGTATCTCTAATTTTGTCCTGTCTGACCCAGAGATAAAAGGTATGGTCCAGACCTCAGTGCTGGGAGCCAACTAGTCACCTCTAGTTTGAGATGATACACATGTTTATTTAACTCATTCATTTCTTGAATTCCTACCATGAAACAGCAGATTTTTGACTGTAGGAAGATGCAAAAAAATAAGTTTATAGTGAAACAGAAAGATGTATAAAAGCATCACAGTGCTCTGTGGTCAGCACTGCAAGAGAGGTGTCTGCAGCATTCCTTGGGAAGCCAGGGGAGGGAGGGACTCATCCTGTCTGAAGAGCTGAGGAGGACTCGCCAATGGTGTGATGAGGTGGTCTGAGGAGTAGAGAGCAGGCGAAGGCCAGGGGAAGCGGAGCCTAGATAAGGGTGCAGTGGTGTGGATCTTCAGAGCAGTGGAGAATAAGCACCTCCAGGTAACCACATCATGACCTGGTGATAAACAGTTTAACAGCGAGACTGAGAGTGCACGGAGGAGCTGGGTGAGGTCTGGGCTTGTGTGCTGTGCTCGAAGGTCTGGCCTTGCACCTCCGCCAATGAATGGGGAGTCTAAAGCGGTCCAAAGAGAGTTAGTGGTCAGTGAAGTAACAAGTTGTCATCTTCTCCTGACATCTCCCTTATGCCACAGTCCTTTAACACTAGCAGAGCGGCCAGGCTGGGAAGCGGGACATCTAATGTGAGTGTGATTTAAGTTGGCTGCACAGAGATAAGAAGGCTCTGGTATGGTAGGAAAAGGAAAATACAACAGAAATAGCACAGACCCTCTATATAGATAAATTTAGGACTTTTATTAAAATCACTTCAAGTCCCAAATAGAGACCCAATATCCACTAGATAACTATGCATGAAAAGCTAAAAAAGGCAAGGGAATGGGTGGAAATTTGCGGTAATCACTAGGCAGCCCTAGGCTTTTGCTGACTAATCAGATCTTCCTGAGTCGTTCCTGGATGTTATACCTGCATTAGTACAAAGTTGAGGTGTAAGTAGGAAATGGGACTCAATTCTGCATTAAGTGGTTCTGTGCAGCATAAAAGAGGCATTTGAATCTCTAAAGTACATCATTTGTTGCCCCTCGCAGGTAACACCTGGCTTCCTTAGAACTAAATAATTCAACATCACTCCTGGGCTTTCTCCAGTTTTCTCATTGTGGGTCTCTTTCATCCAGATTGTAGTTTTCTCTTGATCATTCTCTTTAAATTTCTTCACCAGTTGTTAGCCAAATCTGTGGTTAATCACCATCAGAATTCATTTGTGAGATTGGAAGCTACTTAGAAAAACAGACACACTTTTAAAAATGTATTTTATAACTGTTTCCTCTCCCTAGCCCAGTCCATTAGTTTTGGGAATTTAGCTCTCTTCCCTCTAGGAAGAAGACAGTTATTAACTTGAATTAATGCTATGTAGAAGGAATATTTCAGTCATTGCTCTAATTGGCTTCAGACTCCTTATCTATAAAGTGGGAGAGGGACATGGGTTACATGACTTGTAGAGGTCATTTTACATTAGACAAACATTTATTGAACTTCACATATGTATTTGGTACAGCATTGTGCTCTGGGCATTCAAGAAACGAGAACAGAGACAAGGGCAAGTGTTTGCTGGGTCCCAGGGAGATCCCCTTCATCTCACAAATTCTATCATTCTAAGTATGGCTAATAGTAGCGAAATAGTTTATGCAAGATATGAATGGTAATACTGCTGGAGCACATACTTAACACCTCCCCGAGGCCAAGTTCTGTGTTTCAGGTAAAAGCTGGAAAATTTATTGCTTCATAATATAGGGTGTCATTAGCACACCTGATTCAGATTCTCCAACTTGCAAAGTTTCTCTGAAAGGAGACAGAGGGCTGTGTAAACCTTAGGCCCCTGGGAAAGCTGTAGTTTGTTTCATTTTCCATTGTGGTGGAAGTGTTTGTTCTGAGTCTTTTATCATTGAGCTAATATAATAATACGAGAATAATAGCTTTCTGTGTTCCAGGCCCCTGCTAATTGCTTTGCATGCATTAAATGTAGTCATATTTTGTTCAAGGGGTGTGTTCTTGAAGACCTCTCATAATTTGTTGCTTGTGTAATTTATAACTTGCATAATTCAACATGGATTCTCTCAAAGGACCGTGGGTCTTTCTGTTCAGCAGCTGAGACAGTCACACTAAGTGGTAATCAGTGGTTTAAAGTTTACCAGCTTTGCCATTGTGTGGTTCTTGACTGTTTTTTAATTGGAGAATTTGCATGATTTCAAGTTTTGTGCATGAAGTGATATTCATAACATTTTTATGTGATCATGATTTCAAATTTGCCTAGTTCAGAGCCCTATCAAATGCGACTAGACTGTAGCTCATTCAGTCCCCGTAACAATTTAGTGCAAGAGGTACTCTGACTATGCCCAGCTTACAACTGCGGACACAAAGCACAGAGAGGTGAGCACTTGCCTGAAGATGCACAGCCAGGAAGTAGCCTGGAAGGGCCTTGAACCCTGGTCATTCTGATTCCACAGCCTCAGCTCTTAGGCTGAAGATTCTGGGGAGATTAAGTGACAACGCGCAAGTTGCCCAGCTGGTTATTGTCTAAGTTGGGACCCGAACCTGGGTCTTTCCACATTGCATCTAGAGCTCCCTCCTTTTATCTATTCATTCCTTTTGCTCATTCATTCATTCATTCAAATGTCAGTTACTTGTTTACTTTCTTATCTAAGTGTATTAGTTTCTTGTTGCTATTGTAACAAACTCAGTGGCTTAAAACAACACAAATTTATTTTCTTATCATTCTGAAGGTCAAAAGGCTAAGGTCACAGTGTTGGCAAGGCTACAGTCTTTCTGGAGGCTTCAGAGAACTGTTTCTTTGCCTTGTCCACAATCTAGCATTCCTTGCTTGTGGTGCATTCCTCTGTCTTAAAAGTGTATCACTCCAACCTCTGGTTCTGTCGTCACGTCTCATTTCTCTCTAGCTTCCCTCTTTGAAAGACCTTGTGATTATATTGGGCCCAACTGGATAATCAACGATAATTTCCTCATCTTGAGATCCTTAACATGATCAAATCTGCAGAGTCCCTTTTGCCATATACGGTCACATATTCTCAGATTTCAGGGATTGAGATGTGGACATCTTTTGGGGGTGGGCATTATTCTATCACACTACTAACTAACACTAATTAACCTAGCAGGCCTGGTGGTACCAGATACCAGTCTAAGTGCTAGAGATGCAACTATGCCTGGCACAGCCCTTTCCCAGAATGCTTAGTTTATAGGATTCTAGGGGTTAGAGAGGGAAGACAGATGATCAGATATAGTCAACAGTGTGATAGAAACCAAAATGGAAACTTCCACGCATTCTGGGGACACAAAGGAATGCATCGTGAGGCCTGCTACACTGTTCTCCCTGAAGACCCTACCTCCCGACCTGGACTTATTTTTAATAATCTCTTCCCCTTTTCTGTTCATCTTTTGTCTCTTGAAATGGACATGAGAGTCATGAGCTTCCAGTGAGTCCCATGGCCTGCCTTTCTCAGAACATCTTATGTTCTCAGTGTTTTAGGACCATGTGTGACCATCAGGGCACATATGTTGGTGCTTTATGGTTTACAAAGCACTTATGTAAAATGGATCTCATTTGTTTATTCCAGCTGTCTCTAAAATAGATACTACCATGCTCTTTTTAGGATGAGGCCCATAAGGGTCTGTTTGAACTCCAGCAAATGTTAAGTGGTAGGACTAGAAGTAAACCCCAGATTTCCCTATATGAGATACACAGAATTAAACTGAGAAGTTATCTGTGGAATATTTTGGATGGCAGGGTGGAAAGTGGGCACAGTCTAAAATCCCAGATCACAAAGTCACTGTCTCTAAATACCAAAACAAAAAAAACACAAAACTACATGAAAGTAAACAGAGATAAATTAATAAGTTGTAAATCGTTTGGTTCTCATTTCCCCTGTGGAAGAGACAAGCATATGGCATATCATAGAAATATTGTCATTATGTGCAGAGAAGGTGACATATGCCCCCAAGACAGACTCATTTCATTAGGGAAAAATAAAAGACCTGAAAAGGAGGAGCCCAAGTAAGTAAAAACATCTCCCAGTGTCCCTCCTGCTTTGTTTCTTTTTCCAGTTCATTCTCTCTGGGTATTTTGTGGGTTTTCATGAGTCATGTTATGTGTTCTTGTCGCTCAACCCACCATTTGATTTAGTTAAGTAAATTAGGAAACTTACGTTAGTAAAAAAAATTCATGATTAGACATGAAAGGAGACAATTAGGCATAAATTTAATGGAACAACCGGTTAGAGAGGGGCATCATTCCTTCAGCTTCATCTGTCAAAATATTTAAACACAGGCAGCCTGAGTAAGCTGTGAATAATCAGAGCGCTGAGGAGAGATCAGCGGATACATCCTCTTGTGTCCATGGCTACCTTCCATGCTCCTTAGTTGTAGCTGACACCCTTCTTCTTGTCCCTGCTTTCCCATACAGAACATGAATTGAATCCCATTAGCTAATGCATTTAGGAAAAAGGTGTATGGGCAAGTGGAAATAGCAACCGGGGAAAAAAGACTCACCTGTGGGGCAGCTTTAGCTGCTATCAAGACTTTTTTTTTTTTCCAGCATATTGTGGGGGTACAGATGTTTAGGTTACGTATGTTGCCCTTGCTCCCCCCTCCCCGCCCTAAGTCCGAGTTTCAAATATGTCCATCCTTCGGGTGGTGCGCATTGCACTCTTTGTGTATGCAAATACCCGTCCCCTTATCCCCCCTCCCCCCTGCCCCCTGCCCAACATCCAATAGATGTTATTCTTATATGTGCACTTATGTGTGTACCTTTTGACCTTAGACAGTCACTTAAACTCTCTGGGTTCTTTGTTTTTCAGATTTTTAAAAGAGGATTTGGACTCAATTCAGGATCACAAATGTAAATGCTTTCAGTCACCAAATAATG